GGGCGATCTTTGCCGGCTTGAAGCGGATATCTATGTACGTACGTACTTACGTATATATATACGGATACATACGGATACCTACATACATATATGTATATATATATGGACACATAGATATGCAGAGGGCATATGTATATGAACGTGTATACGTACGTATAGAGACGGACGGACGGAGGGGTATGGAGATAGATATAGAGAGAGGGGTGGAGGGGTATGAAGGCACCGGCTGAGCCAGCCTAATCTACATGCGCACACCACACAAACGCACATCCCACGCATCCCCCCCCCTCTCTCCCCCCCCCTCTCTGGCTGCGATGCACCTGCTTAAACGCCCTATCTGTTATGATGTCAGATTCTGGCCACAGGCAATGCACACATCACCATGAGCTGCCCACCCCGCAGCGGCCCGTCTCCCCGCCGCAAGTTCCACTGCGCAGAGGACGCCACGCGGAACTCGCCGATGAAGAGCCCATCCATCACGCTGTGCACGTCTTGCATCATCGACCTACGGATGTGATGCAGGACAAGCTTCACCTCGCGGACGCCCCTGGCCGCGACCAGCGACGCCATGCTCGTACTCGTAAACTCGCCGGCATCGGTGTCGCTCGGCACTGCAGACACAATGCACACGCAACGAATGATCTCTGTCTACGTGCACCCTGTCCCGGTCTCCTTACATTTGGTCCAGATCTCGAGATTCTTGACAGATGGCAGCCCCTCCGCCTGCGGCCATTTGATGGCCCCCGTGGCACTCTTCAGCTCGACATACAGTGAGTCGAGCCTCGCCTCATCGCCAATGGCCGCCAAGACGGAAGACGCCTCATCCACAGACACACCGTCGAAGAGCAACACCCCTGCCAGCGCTGGCAGCCGCACACCTGCCTGCATGATGTGTTGCATGGCTGTGCAGGCCACACTGCCCCTGAGATGCACCCTGGTGACGCTGGGGAAGGCGTGGCGGTTGATGAATGCCGTGTGTGCGATGATGTGGGCGGGGAGCTGTGTCGGGTTGGTCTCGTCCGTGACGACCTTCAGAGAGGCTGCCTTTTTGAAGGTGAGGGATGCGGCGAGCTCCTCGGCCGCAGCAGATGATGCCTTGTCGCCTCCCCCGTCGTCACCGAGTTTCCACACGACGTCCTCTGTGTGGTCGGCCAGGTCGCTGAGCGCCGTCTTGACAAATGGGGTGGTCACACGAGCGGATGCACCGAGAAGGGCCAGATCGAAGACCGACGAAGAGCCGCTGGTGAAGTGGAATATGATGGGCGTGTCGGGCGATTTGCTGACCGCCGCGTGGAGGAACTCGAGTGCCGCGAGTTTCGGGATGATGGATGCGTCGACGTGGGTGCCGACATGCGCTTCGATGGACGTGAGGGAGTGGCATTTGCGGGCGACCAACGCATCCTTGAAACAGACCGACAGGGAATGTGAGGGTGAGGTGAGGGAGTCCGTCGCGTCATCCGTCCTTCGACTCACGTACCTTGAGTCGCATCAGGTCCTTGTCGGCTCCCTTGCCATCGATGTGCAGCTCCCCAATGCTCTCGAGCTGAGAAGCGGCACCCATGCTCTCCACTATCGCCGCTTTGTCGGCCAGGGAACATGAGGCATCCAGCCGCGTCAGTGTCGTCAGCCCCCCAACGAACCCACACAGCGCTCCACCGGAGCAGATGTGGCCGCCCGTGGAGTCCACAGCCAAACAGCGCAGCGAGGGCCACTGCCAGCCCCGCCCAGCCGCCGCCTTGGCGAGCACACGATGGCCGTATCGGATGCCGCTTATGCTCACGAGTGCTGGCAGGGATGTGGGGTGCGTCGACTTGGGTGGGAGGAGATCCGGGGTGGGTCGCTGCTGTTCGTCGGTGAGGGCAACGTCGACGCTCTCGAAGCTGATCGACGTCAGGGTGCCTTCTCTCAGCTGCGACACCTGCAGGTGAGAGCGGGCGTGCCGCACGACCATCGCTCGTCGAGCAGCGGCATGGCCCTCGATAAGCGATATCAGGCTGGTGAGGCACCAGGCTGGTGTCTTGTTGGGGTACTTGAGGACGATCGACTCCAACCGGGTAAGCCGCTTGCCCCACAGCCAACAGAGGACGGGCTTGGCTGACAGCATGTGCCAGAATAACTGCTCGGCCTCGGTGGATGCGTCGATGGTGAGGTGGGTGTACTGCTTGCTGACGTCGGGCAGCAGGGAGCGGGGGAGGGCGGCGAGCAGGTGGAAGGGCACGAAGGAAAAGACATCCCCCAAAATGACGAGAGACTGCAAACAGATTCACAAGCAGCCACACACACACAGAGCGACAGCACATAGACAAGATCCACATCCGGTGTGTGGTTCTCTGTCTCACGTGCGATTTGGCAAATTTGGCGAATGTCTTCAGGTCAATCTCGCCATTGTTGCCAACTCGCATGGCCGGCTTACTCCTGCGTCTGGTGCTGGTGCGCCGCTTCTTATTCTGCAGGCCACAAACATCACACACAGATGGACCGACCACACGCCGCCAGTATGGGGAGCCTCAGCGTACCTCAGAGCGTAGGATCGTGCGCCCCTTACGATGCTTGGGCGGCCAGCGGCTTCGTGTCGTCGGCTGTGAAGGGACGCCGTCTCCTGAACGCCACACAGGCACATGCATCAATGACCCAGCATTTGTTCCACGTGTGTCGGGAGGCTCACCTGCATTCACAAACGCTATGGCCTTCCTCTGCCGCCCGCACGTCGTACGTGTCACGATCTGATAGCGGCCCTCAGTCGCCGGATCCGTGGCGCGAATGGCCGTCAGCAGCGCACTCAGCTGCGCCTCCTCACTCGCGCTGCCCATCCCGCCACCACCGCCAGCGCCCCTGGTCGCCAGAGAGGCCCTCCCGACACTGCCAGGAACACCACGATGAGTTATGATGAAAGATGGAGAATGAAGTGTTTCCGTACCTGGCGGAATCCCTGCGCCGGAGAGGAGGGGCGCGAGGGAAAAGAGGGGTGCCGCCAAAGGCAAAGCTCGCAGACGGATCTGGGAGGAGAAACGGCTTCGAAGGGGCTTATTCGGAGTACCACTGGGTCAGATCTCCCTTCATGTTCGCAAAATGGATCAAAGAAGGGGAACTCATGAATGCATCTATGCGACGAATACCTGGTCTATGTGCTTCCTTCTGCAGGATGAGGCCTTCGGTATCGGGATCTACCTCACTCATGCTGCTGGCATTGAGCTTTTCTGACGCTTTCACCACTCCCAAGCTCACACCATCTCGCCTGCCATTCACTTGGCGAACACGCCCGCCAGCCGGGCTGCTCAGCCCGGGCCGCTCTTCAGTTCTGTACACGCAGCAGCAGCAGCAGCAGCAGCAACAGCAACAGGCGTCGGCGTCGGTCATGCCGTCCAAGCGGCAGCCCAGGAAGAGGTCAATGAAAGGCTTCTACGTCCGGCCATCGAAGGCGCTTGAAGTGGGAGGCGGATTCTTCGTCCCTGGTACGCACACACAGGGCAGGACAGGGCAGGAGGGCAGAAGAAAGATACGCCCAGCTGGATTGGCGAATGTCGATCTTGTCCTGTGTGCCCACGATGTGTCAGGTTTGGAGGGTTGGAGGCTGCCTGTGGCTGGAGGGTTGTTCTTCGCCGTGTGTTTGGCTGTCAACCACCTTGCCAGTCTGGAGGTGGCCATTGGCCAGACCATCACCGAGGCCATCGGTGCCATTGCCGTCCTGACGCTCATCCTACAGGGCCTCTTCCGCCGACAGCTGGACATGGCCGCCAAGTCGGGGGAGCTGTTTGCGGATGTGCTGGAGAGACAGCGAGTGGCTTTTGTTGACGAACAGTTTGAGCGCGACTATGTGGAGAGCGACGCCTTTGAGTCGGTGGGGTGGATGGTGGAGACCCTGCTCAATATCATGGGTGCCACGGCTGTCGTGCTGGCAAGCCGCGAGAACGGTGCAGACGGGGGCGGTGGGCTGCAGGTGGTGCTGCGTGCTGGCGACTACACGGCTGACGAGAACGCTGCCGTGATGGACGAGAATGCTGTGCTATGGGATGATGGGCAGAAACAGCAGAGCGGTGATGGTGGGCCTTGTCGGAGTGTGCGAGTGGTCGAGAGGCACAGGGTGAGGGGCGGCAGTGAGGCGGCCAGTGTGGTGTCGCTCTTTCCCGCCAACACCAAGAGCATAGCGGTGTTTGAGCTGCCCTTCTTATCATCACAGGGGCAGACGGGCGGTGCACTGTCTGAGTGGTGTCTGTTTGCTGGGCTGCGAAGTGGGCCGTCGAGTGTGTCGGCGGACGATGCATACTGGCTTGACAAAATACAGACATTCGCAACGGTGCAGACCAACTTGACGTGAATGGCCATGGATGGCGCCGGTAGCCGGTGCTGATGTCTGTGCGTTCTGTGAGGTCAGTCGGTTGTGTTTGTGTTGATGCTGGATGCGTGTTAGAGAGGAGGGGATGTAGGTGTGAAAGAAGGGCACGTGTGTGTCATGACGATTGATCCATAGCGTTTGAAACATCGTGTACAGTGTGTCTCTGTCGGAGTCTCATGAATGCAATCATTACAAAGGAACCAACTTGTGTCGGTCATTCGTTACAAAAGAACGTGTGTGTCCCCTCTCTACTTTAGTTAGTCATCGCACCGCTTGTCTTTGTCAGCACTCTTGAGCTACTTCTCCTTCACGTCCGCCTCTGACACACACACATACACACAAGGGGTGGGCGCCCACACCCAACACCAATACATACTGCATACTCTGCTCACTTACCCATCCAGTATTCGGCGATTTTTCTATCCTTGGCATCGTCGTTGGCCTTCGTCACGTTCATCTGCACACACAGAGAGACACAGACGTGCTCACGCCATGTCAGACGCTTCCTTTGCTCACCCAGTATTGTTGCTTGCTGATCTTGTTCTCGACGGGGCTCCCGTGCAGCTTCAGGATCTGGGAGATGGTCTGCTCCGTCTTGTCCCCTCGGTCTATCTTGAGCAGCATCAGGTTCAGCTCCTCCACGTTCTTGACCTTGATGCCCTGCCCTCCACCTACGGCGCCCGTGACGAGCTGGCGCACATTTTGCTGCACACACATACGGACGGACAGAGAGACAGAGGGAGAGCACATTGAATGATCCCTCCCCGTCTGTGTGCATGTCCCATATATCAGTCAGCGCACGCGAATGGCCCCGCCTGGCATCTCCCACAGCGCCACGTGGTGGTCTGCCCAGCAAACATTGCATACAATGCAGTGTGATGCGTGGGGCAACACACGCGTCTGTGCTGCTGTCTTCTCGCTCATCTGCTCGTGTGTGAGCTTCCTTCGTACCACTGATGTCGGTCTCCCGCAGGATCTTGGCCTTCTCAGGTATCTCCTCCTCCTCAGGGGCCCAGTCGGGATCGTCGCGGGCGGAGCGGGCCCTGCCCTTGCCGGGACTGCCGGCGCGGCTGCCCTTGGACGGGCTGCGATGGGCCCCCCCCTCTCTACCTTCTCCTTCTCCTTCTCCTCCTGCTCCTTCTTCTTGTCGTCACCTTCGTCATCGTAGTCCTCTACAGCGGCACCGAAAGCCGCAGCCGCAGCAGCCCGGCCCGACCCCTGCCTCAGTGGGCCTGAGACACACAGACAACATCATGATGCATGTCGGTGCAGGGCGGGATCATGCAGCGCCTGCATGTACCTTCGGGCAGCCCCACGGGTGGCGAGTTCTCCCTCGTCATGAACGCCCCTGACGTGACTGCAAACAGCAAAAGGCACGTGCAGGCAGGTTACATGCCCATGCATGAATGTACTCATGGATAAATCCACCGCAAATCGGCTCACCGTTGGCGCTCTTGGATCTCATCTTGGCCGACGCTCTTTCCTCCCTCCTCGCCAACTCCCTTCTGGCATTCATCTTCGACTGCAGAGAGCGTTTCTTAACGCGCGGCGGATCCTCCATCTCTACACCACCACCGCCGCGTTTCCCTTTCTGATGCGAGCTTCTCGTCTCGCATGTTCACAGAATTTTACAGCTTTCCAAGTGTTGTTGAGCTCCCCGTTGTTCCAATATGAGTCAGTGTGCGGGTGCTGCCGGCACCGCGCGTCAGCGAGGGCTTTTGAGGAGTCAGGCTGGGATACGCCCTGGTGCTGGGGGAAAGGGTGGGGCGGCAGGGAGGGCGCGCAAACCGCCAGAAGGTTCCTCAGGAGGGCATTCCGGTGACGCCCATGTGGTGGAGGGGAGGCGGAACAAGTGCTGCATATGCCAGGAGGCGAGAGACGATACCGATAAGGTGCGTGAGACCAACTGATGCTGTGTTGAGGAGTCCCTGCATCCTTTGTCTTGTGTGCAGGGCATACTCTCCTGTGGGCATGAATTTTGCTTTGATTGCATTGCGCAAGTAAGCACAGACACTTAAGGGCAGAGAGAACCTGATCAATCCCGTAGCGCATGCATGAATGTGTCGGTGTCTTGTTTCCGTTTCCATTTCCAGGCTTTTATCGCTCGCACCAAGGCCGGCCATGCGTGCCAGTGCCCGCTCTGCCACCAGAGCAAAGTCAGCCCCATCGTCACGCGCGAGACTCTCGTCCGCACGACGAGGTCCAGGAAGCGCAAGGCCCAGGACATCTCCGAGGAGGAGGGCGACCCTTCCTCATCGGAGGGGTATGCTGTGCGCGTCGAGGACAAGTTGTAAGCCGCATGCACGGAAAGAAAGGAGTCTTGCTCACACACAGCACTACTCATTGCATGCTGTCATGCTGTCTGTCTGTGGTATTGACCATCGATTGCAGCGAGGTCCGTGTGAATGAGGACGGCGTTGAGGAGGTGTGGCGGATCTCCAAACAGGACCTCTCACACAAGTATGTACACGCGGACGCACTCACCTGCAGACAGCGCACAGCACATCCCCGGTGTGTGTCCATCCATCTCTTTCTGTGCAGAGGTTTCAGAGGGCCGATGAAGGGCGGGGAGATGTGGCCGCCGGCCGATTTTGATGTGGATCAGTTTATGGAGGTCATGTCGGACGCGGACATCGACTACGTCACTCGCAAGGCCGTGTCAGTGCACCACAAGTGGACGGAGGACTCTCAGATGAGAAAGTTTCGCCGACTGCAGACCGGTACAGAAGAGTGACGGCAGACACTCGGAGTAAACGACCCCTGCCCATCCCATCTTGTGTGTGTGTGCACGTGTGTAATGCTTCTCAGTTATGGATACGCTGACTGCGCAGAAGGAGTACTGTGAGGTGGAGAGGATCAAGGAGATGATCGACTGGCCAGGTAAACGACGCGGGGGATGTCCGCCATATCTCTGTCTCTGCCTCTCTCTCTGTGCATTGATCAACAGAGCCCGGCGTAGGGGCGTGGAACAGGACGCACCATCGTGGGCACATCGACGGCGCGCTGACTCAGCAGTGGGTCCGCGAGGGCAAGCACAAGCACTTCCACAAAGATTTCTACGACCGCTCCCACTGGACAGCCTATCAGTTCATGGACGCCGAGCTGCTATGCGACCAGCAGCAGACGCGCCGGCTGAAGCGCTCCACAAGGGACCTGCTCTACCAACACGATGTCAACTGTGTCCTCACCTCAGCCTGGCGACCATAGCCTGCCTGGTTGCCATGTCTCGCCGCTTCCTTCGTCGTCCATGTCTCGTTCATCCGCGTCTGTTTGATGTCTGTCGGCCTGCCTGGACCCTCTCTCTCGTCTTTCTTCTGTTCCCTATCGTGGCTAGCTATCGGATCCCATCGATCGCAGCTCCAACCGTTCACCCATGCCCATCGCCCGCAGTCCCTCCCTCCCTCCATCTCGCCTCGCCCCTCCCCAGCCGCCCTGAGTCACCTCTGCCCAACCCAGCAAACGCGGCCAACAGTCGCTGAACCCTCCATCGTCTTAGATGGGCGCCCTTTCATCTATCGTCATCTGCTTATCACAAGGGCACCAGAGTGCTGGCTACGTACTGGCTGAGTCGACCTTTGCGGTGCGGCCGCCTGACTGATCCACTCGTCTGTCTACGCCATCCCAATGGGCCGCCCGGACTTTGGCTGACGACGTCCACACCCCTCAGCGACTCGTCGCCGCAGCAGACCAAAACAAGCCATCCACCGCCCTCTATGTATCGATATGGATTGCCTGCTATCGTCTGTCCGGTGTTTGTGGTCCGTAGCCAGCACAGTGCCCCATTCAGAAGCCGGCCCCTTGCTTATGGCGTCGATCGTGCCCTACGTCTCTCGCTGCCAAGGCGAGCACAAAGCAGACATCAGAGGGCGAGCACTCGACGGCTGTTCTCAGAAGATCCCTGTCGCGATCCAACCAACGCCCAAACCAACAGGGCAGCGGCGTCGATTCTTCATCAAGTCGGTCCAGAGGCGGCACATCCATCTGCGTCTCGTCCATCCGCCTGACGGCAAGTCTTATGACGGCTCGCGACGTCCATCGACAGCCAAGCCGGCCCAGGCGCAGCAGGGCACAGCCGCCAAGCAATCCGTCTGAGGGCCCATGTGCGCGTGTGAAGCCGAGCGGCGTGTCGCGCCGAGGGCGTGTGATAGAGCATCTGCTCGGGGACCTCTTTTGGCTCTTCTTATGTCTCGTCTCATCTGCTGACTGCATCCCCCCCACCCCCACCCCCGCAAGCAGCATGATGGTATGGCCCACCGGCTGAGAGACAAGAGAGGACTCGAGGGAGTGTCAGGGAAGGAGCCACCGAGTGGGATGCGCACGAGAGGGACGAGGGGGGCGGGCAGGGAGAAGTGGCGATAGTCGGACAAGTCATTTGCGGCAGATTGATAGCATTCATCAGTGGTCTTGCTAGAGAGGCTGATAGGTTGCAGGTTGACGCGTACATGTATATGTGTGTGTATGACACAAACCCGATATGGTACCTTCGTGTGTGAATGTATGAGATACATTGACGTGTGAAGGTGATCGATCAATCGTTCATGGCCACCGGCGTGAGGCTTTTGCATGTCATAAATGGCGTGGGTAGCCATGCAGGGTGGTGTCTCCGATGCTGTATGTGTACCCAGCTCATGAGAGAGTGACAAGCGTGTCCGCTGACTGATAAAACAGACCAGCCCCATTCACCCACCGACAAAGTGACTAACAGGTGTGGTTGAAAAAGTGACAAACCACTAAGAAAACACCACCATGCATCTATCTATCTATGTGTCTCCCTCGCCGCCACCCGCATCTCAAGAAGCGAGTATGCTGGCTACCTCGTGGTAGGCTCTCTTGGGCTTGTAGTCGCGCGTGAACAGCAGAGGGTGGTCGCCGCTGATCAACAGAAGCCAGCGACACAATGCACGGTTGCGAGGTGAATGTTCAACGCTCGATTCATCCTCACCGCAGCCATGTCGCTCTGTCGGTGAAGCCCCACAGGACGAAGCCCACACAATTGGGCTCCTCCAGGCAAATCTTCAGCAGAGAGCCGTACACCATCGCCTGACAGACAGAGACACACCACAGGGGTGCAACGAATGTCCCCTCCCGTCTTGCTGTCAGTTCACCTGAATGTACTGTAACTCTGGGGTGAAGGTCGCGCACGGCGCCCACTTCCCGTCCTCCCAGGAGCCACAGGGCACATCAACTTCGGTGAAGCACACCTCCACACCTATTGCAGCATACCTGAATGGGCATTACCCACACATACACACACACTTTGGCTACAGAGTGGTGTGGGCCAATGTGGATTACCTCCGTATGTTCTCTCGGACGCCGTCAAAGTCAGCAAAGGCTGTGGTGATGTGCGTCTGGAATCCGACGCCATGCACAGTGAATGATCGCTGCAGAAGCCCCAATATCATGCCGTAAACAGCAGCGCTCTGAGACAAGAAAGAGACGGACGGCAGATACGTGCGGTGCTCATTCATATGTCTCATCTTGCCTTTCTGCCTCGGCGCGAATGGGGTGTGGCTGTGAGGATACTGTAGTCGTTGTAGTACATGCGGGCCTTGTTTCCGGGCCGCGCCTTCTGCACCATGGCTGCTGTGCGGAAGGATATCTCCACCCAATCTGGGACTTTCGACAGCCAGCTCTGCCGCCACTTGGGGTTGCTGACTGGATCTGCGGTGGGCTGATCATCATCCACAGCTGCAGACAGACACACAGAAGGGGCCAAAGGGGTGTGCGGCGGCATGTCTCGTTCTTGCCTTCGTTGGCCACGTCAAAATGAAGCATGTGCGGCATGTCGATATAATGCTCCATCACCCCCTCCACCTAATGGGCAAAGGATGATTGCAGAAAGTACCTTTCGATTGGCATGATGCGCTTCTTGCCTGCTTGATGATGATGTCTCGAAGTTCCTCCTTTTTGGTCTTGAAGATCCATCCAGGGACCCCGGAGTACCTGCGCACATGGAACGACAAAAAAAAAGTGGGCTCTTCTTTGTGCAGCGCCCTCTTATGTCTCACCAGACAGCAGCGTGGAATCGCATCATTTGCCCGTTGGTCTTGGCGAGGTCCGCCATCTTGTCGCAAGATGCGAAGTTAAACTTGGTGGCAGTGGGACGGATCCACGACATCTTGCACTCGTTCTCGGCAACTAACGAATTGAACCTGATGTGTAAGCAGGCAGATTAGAGGAGTAAGGGCATCACTTGTCGCTGGCTTACTCTCTCGCAAGGACGTCTCTGTAAGTTTGGCCACCGACGAACCAGTTTGAAGCGGCTGCACCGATGTAGAGCTTCTTCTTGTCAGCCAGTGCGCGCAATGAGCCTGCAGGAGAGTCCAGAGATACGCCATCGGAACGCTCTGTTTTGAGGTACCTGCCTCGCCCTGCACAGAGGGCGCTGCGAAGCCACGCAGTCTGAAGTCGACTGAAGAAGTGGGTGCGTATACACGGCCTGATGATGACAAAACAGACAGAGTATGTGTGGACCAGCCACTTTGCTATCCGTCGGCTGGCTTACGGTCGAAATGGCAGGGCGGTCTCATGGTGTCTTCGCAGGTCTTGGTGAAGTCAGTGACGATCTTGTCTCCACAGCAGTTGGGCCGTCCGCCTGGACGATTCTCGCATCCGACGCCCCCACATGTGCCACAGTATGCCGGGCAACACGCATCATTGGCACTGCACAGACCATCCCATAATGGCAGCTTTGTGTAGTGTGTCTAATCATCTCCTTACGCGTCATATGTTCCGCCGAGCTGTCTGGTGCAGAAGGACGCGTGGCTCGTGACAGGGTATGTGAGAAGAAGGCTGGGAGTCAGGTTGCACGGCGCCGTGTGCAGCCCGCACTGACGATCTGTCTTCTTGATGGCGTTGGCGCAGCAGTTCTGAGGCCCAACTGACAAAAGAAACGAGGCCTGAGACATGGAGCAATCCATCCCTGTGCTTTACGTGGCAGTTTGTGGCATTCGGCGCCGCCGCATCGAGTGCATTCCTTCGGGCAGCACACAGGGCCGTTGTCGTTCCAGTAGCCGTTCACCTTGTCGCACAGAAAGTGGCCCTCACTCTCACTCAGCGGAGACATATCTGTGCAGACATTGTGGGGTATATGATGGGGAATTTTTTGATGGTCTCACGTACCCTCAGCGCAGTACTTAGGCCCCGACACGACGGGCCCTGGCACAGCGGTCTTGCCGCCAGCTGCTGCGGCTCCCTTGAGAAGGCAGTTGGCGGGCGGCCAGGTGAATGCCTGCCAAGACCAAAAGTAGCACTCCGGCTCTGCCTGACAATGCCTCTGGCACTGCTGGGGAGAGACACTCTGGGGCACTGCATAGATGTCGCTGCCTTTGTACTCGGTCCTCTCGTGAAAGCAACCTGGCGACACAAAATGGTGATGTGGCCATGTTTTCCGCGTCCTGTGTGTATTTGTGTGCTGACCAGCAGCTTGTCCGCATAGCAAGTCGCCCGATATGGTTGCTCCAGGAGACCACTTTCGCTCGCCAGGCATCCAAGACTGCAACGCCATCCAGGGTCTGCTGAAAAGCTGTGTGCGCTTGGGTAACTTACCTTGAGGTAGCACTCATTTGTTTTCGTCTGAAAGGAGTAGAACTTGCACATGGCCGTGCGGTGACAGGCCAGGTGACACATCTCGGCAGAGGAAACCTCAAGCGGCTTCGGCTGGAGGTCGTTGCCGGGGTAGTCAAAGTTTCCCTTCCAGCAGGCTGACAAAATGACCAAGAAGACAATGAGAGACATGCTGCGATCTGGATATTTCTCCTATGTGCACCTTCGGAGCACTGCCCAGGGCCGGACACGGCATTGTGTTCCGTGTGGTAGAATGGGAATGTCCTGACGATGTCCGACTTGTACAGGAGGCACTGCAGTGGCCCCAACAGGTAGCTGAACCGGCGACACTCAGAGTCCATCGCACACTCCTGAACGGAGACATTGTGAATACGCCCAGAATTAAATGCATGAATAGCTGTCCTCACCTGTTGGCACTCTGCGGCCGAGTGTATGCCTTTGATCTCTCTGATAAAGGGCCCCTCATATTTGGTGTAGGGCTCGTAGCAATCTGATGGAAGAGAGAGACAGAAACAGCGTCAGAGGCGTGTGAGAAAGAAACCTTCCATGGAATGTACCATATAGACATCTCTTTGGTCCAGAAATGGCACTGGTGTCATTTGTGCGACCAGTCATCGTCCGCATCAGCACACAATCGCCCCTCGCCTTGAGATATGTGAAGAACTTGCAACCGCTGGAAGCGCTGCACAGCGCCTGGCATGCTGGTGCCGAACCGACGTTTGTTGATGTCGCCATTGTATCGCCCTTGTAGCTGTAGTCGTACTCCGCACAGTGGGGCACTTTCTGTGAGAAAAAGGACGGAGAGGAGTGCAAGCATGCCTGCTTGGAGTATGGAGCGCTTCCCTCACCTCGAAGGCCATGTCGCTTGTGATCGTCTGAATAGAAGACAGGCCTCGTAGCGGCAGAACACCGTACGCTTCAGCCCCCTACGCGACACATATTGATTCGCTGCTCGTCTATATACAGGGCATTGCAGCTGGGCACTCTCACCGTGTTGTCTGTGAGCTTCAGTAAGTATCCCGGCCGCCACTTGTTGTTGGGCCATGAAACCGAGGCAAGAGAGCTCACATTCACCTGACAGAGATAACGAGCCATGCAGCTCTCTCAGCTTTGAAAAGCTGTGTGTGTCATACCGTGAACGCCCCGAGCTCCTTGTACGTGTCGACGAACGCCTTGCTGTCCTTGTGCCAGATGGACATCTTCACGATACCCACTGGGGAGTTGGACACTTGCAGCTGACAGACACCAGGATACCGTGTCTCCTCGGTCTCACTGCGTGTTCTCCTTTATGTCTCTCACCGCCAGCCAGTAGGCCGTGCTATCGGCAGTGAATGTGAATTTGAGAGTCGTCCCCGTATGAGCGAGACCTCTGCAGACATTCGATTGCAATCGAACACATCATCGTCAGCAAGCGGTTTTCTCTGCATCCCTCCTTACAGCTCTCGCACGGTGGCGATATCAGAGGCGTTCTTGTCTGTTGCGTCCGCATCAGCCAGAGGAGAGACACTTGCGGCAGAGGGACACGGGATTGCATGCCATCGTATCTGCGCAGAAGAGAGAAACAGGAAATATGCTTGAAGAATCAAGTGTCGTCCTTCGAACCTCTGCAGTGTCGTTGAGCCCCAGATTGGCATCCACTCGGAGGTCCCCATCAGCACATTCATGGCAGCTGCACACATGAACCATGCAATGTAATCCTTCAGCGAGCATCGTGTTTCTTGGTTGCTCACAGGTCAACGACAAGGGCGCGGAATGTCTTGACAGGTAAGTGGCCGCCCGCAGCCGAGAGGAGCTCAACCTGTGCACAACAAATCACAGGAGCGAGGTACAAGACGATGAATGACTCTGCATTCTCACCTCAAGGCAGGTGCCGCAGGCTTCGAGGCCACCATGGACATCAAAGAAAACGGGACTGGCAGCAGCAAGCGTGTCGATACCGTCACTTCCAGTGGCCGTCAGGGGAGAGCACATGCCTGGCCGGTCCTCACTGATGGTGAGATCTGGCAGTGCCCTCCCTGACACGAGCATCCACGAGCAATGAATGGGTGAAGAGCCAATGCATGCGCGCAAGGGCATCCAGGTGATATGCTTACCATGCAAGTTGTCCTCGTATCCATGTATTCCCGTGCACAAGCTCACTACGGAGAGAAAAAGCGCCACAAACGTCGACATCCAAGGAGACATTCAAGTTTACAACACAGAGAACGCGCATCCTACCCCCCCATGACCATGATGCTGCGCTTTTTGGCTTTTTTGGCGCTTGCGTTCATCGTGGCATGTGCGGGGGACGACGCTCCACCCACCAATGACGCCCCTCCCGCGGTTGATCTCGTTGAGGGGCTTGACCAACTCCAGGTGAGCAAACCATCCGCCGATGGGAGATGGGTGGACCTTTGTGACGGCTTATCCATCCCTTCGTTGGTGGTGTCTGATGGTCTGCTCAGGGACTGTCATTCACTAACGCCACGGAACCTGATGCACCGCTACGTGAGCTGAAGAGGGAGCAAGGGCCGCTTGGGGCTGGGCGGGGAGGGTGGGGCCATGAGATCTTTGCGTGTTCAGGGATGCTCAAGGCCAAGTCCTTCCGACATCTCTTCAAAAAAAGCAAAAAGAGCAACAAAAAAGGTGGGATAAGACCATTGGTGCCGTCAAGGCAGTCCACGCACCATGCTCTTTCTATGCGTCCTTGATGGGTTGCCGGTTGTGCAGGTACGCTTCGGTTCCTGGCTCAGAAGAAGAAGATCTACGTTGGTGCGGCCATCAACCAGGTACCATTCATGGGCTCACGCAGAGAGGCTAGCGAGGGGGCGGTCAGGCATGACATTTCTCGCTGGTTGATGATTTGCTGTCTGTGTTTGATGGGTGGGTTGATGGATGGATGGATGCAGTGGAACCTGAAGAAAGCGCAATACATGAACACAGTCGCCAGGGAATTTAGCATGATCGTTGCGGAGAACGAATGCAAAATGAACAATATAGTCACACCCAAAAGTACGCCAACCCGAACACACCGAAACACAGAGAATCACCCCTGCAAGTGACTGTCTCCCTCTTTGTGCTCATCCATCAATTTGAACTGCATCACCGACATCAGAGCAGTACAACTACGGCACGTGTGACCGCATTCTCAACGTGGCCAAGAAGAACGGTCAGGAGATGCGCTTCCATGCCCTCGTCTGGTACAGGGCGGCCCCCAAGGTGCTGCAGGCGGAGTCGAAGGCCAAGGTTGCCGCCTCACTCAAGAAGTTCTGTACCACCGTCACCAAGCGCTACGTCGCCAAGGGCGTCAGATGGTTCGACGTCGTCAACGAGGGTCAGTTAGCAGTCACCAGGAAGCCGACGGGTCGCTGATTGAGAAAGGTCATTGCTTCCCCCTTTTGTTTGTTGTCTGTCTCTTACATTCATCCATCCATTTGCCAGCGTTTGCTGACAAGCAGCCGAAGAACAGCATCAACAAGCCCTCGTGGCGCAAGGCGTGGCCGTACACCAAGCTCCCCAACTGGGCCGAGGTCTCACTGCGGGCCGCCGCCAAAGGCGCCGGAAAGAAACGCAAACAGACACGGTAAGAAGTGTGACAACAGAGCAAAAAGCCACCCGTCCGTCAGTCACTTATGTGCGTGGTGCATGTCTGCACGTATGCAGTCTCATGTACAATGGTCAGCATGACCGAGAAGGGGAGAGATGGACGGAGAGAAAAAGAGGGTGAGCACATGTATATGACCATGTGTGTGCCTTTGTTGCGCAGACTACGGCATCGAGAGCATGAAGGGCTACATGAAGGGCAAGTCCGACGCCGTGTTTTGGATGGCCAAGACGTTCAAGAAGCGCAAGATCCCCCTCGACGGCATTGGCTTCCAGACTCACATCAACATGAATTTCAAGGACTTCGACGGCGTACGAAAGAACATACAGCGACTCGGTCAGCCACCATCCGCAGCCACAAAGCCAACGGCCGAGCAGACCACAAATAGACGGGCATACGTCTCGTGTCTCGTTGTGTGCGTGCCTTTGCCTGCCTGGGTTTGTGCAGGCAAGTTGGGCTACGAGGTGCAGTTCACCGAGGTAAGTCATTGACCCGCCCTGTGTCGCATCATCGATTATCCTCCGAGCGTCGGTGTGTGTGTGTGTGTCTTTGTGTCTGTGTGTCAGGTTGACGTCTCGTGCGGTTTCTTCAACCCGGCGGGCAAGTGGATCAAGTGCAAGAAGTGGACAAAGGTCCAACAGAACATGCAGGTACTGTACAACGGACAGTATTAAGCATCCAGCCACACAGACGGCAGGCAGGCAGGCAGCGGATGTCTGTCTCACTTCATTCGACCGATGACTGCATGTGTGTCAGGCCAACATCTACAAGACCCTGATGCGCATCTGCCTGCAGTCGCCCAACTGCACCGCCTTCGTCATGTACGTATCTGATGCACCTGTGTATGCTTATTGGTGTGATGTGTTTATGTCATTCATCGGTCAGGTGGGGCGTCACGGACTCTGTCACGTGGCTCAACAACGACCACCCCCACATATTCGACAGGAAGTACAAGAAGAAGCCCGCCTACCACGCACTCACAGCCGCACTCAAGTAGCACACAATACACACAACACACACACACACACACATCGACACACACACGGGGAGAATGATAGGGGCCTCGGCATGCGCACGACTCGATGCGCGAGCGGTGTTTTTGCAAAAGCGCACAGGCAGGTGTTTTCGATTTTTTGCGTGTCGTTGCGCATACAGACGGGTGAACGGTTTGATCGGTCTGTCTGAGGGGAGTGGGTGTGCATATGTCTGTGTGAAGCTTGTCCGATTGTTTATCACCTCTCCCTCCCTCCCTCCCTCTCTCTTTTGTGTGTGTCGCTGGGGCACTTTTTCCTCTCTGGATGGTGACAAGCCACACGCCGGGCGCCCTCTGGTGTTTTTCCAGTCGACAAATGGATGGATGGATTGTGTGCGTGCGCAGCAGACGACCCCCTGTGTCCCCAGCCTCCCCTCTGCCTGCTTTTTTCTTTTCCTCCTGCGCGTATGGATGGATGGATGTCTGCAATGCTTCACACGGACACAAACACGGGAACGAGGCAAACAGAACACATGAAAGGATCTGCAAACGGTCTGCGCTGAGGAATCGGTCCACGTCTGCACACACTGGCATGCACACACATCGAAGGGCACCACAATATCGACACACCCACGTTTCCCCTTCCCCCCTCCCTCCCTCTCCAGTCAGTTCTCTCCAGCCGGCCCGACCGCACCCCACACCCGACAGCGAGCCGGGTGGGGCATTTTCGTGGTTTCCGAGCCGCCCGTCACTCGACGACCGGAGGGAGCACGGAGGAGGACCCCTATGGTCTTCCCTTCGTCACTCTTGTGGTATACTCTGCAGCCGGATGGGGCCTTTGGCCTTCCGAGGCTCATCAACAACAGCGCCTGTCCCCCACAGCACACAAACAGATGTGGCCTTGGTCAGTGATCCGCCTGTGGCTGCAGTATGTACGTACCCTTCTGCAGTATGTGTATCCGTTTCTGGTCCACTAGGCGGTATGCCGCTTGGCGAGTCACCTCCATCAGACCCCTCCAGTTGTCCACCAGGCCTTCAGCAGCCAGCTGACAGACGATACACACACCGACGTCACGTTGCCAGCCGAGATGAGATGTCACTGAGTGAGTGCATCCCCTCCCCTCCCCGGATATGTACCTGCCTGGGTATCTCGCTTGGTCAGCAGGTCTTGCGAGGGCCGCGCTTCGTGACCAGATCCATCACTCTGGCCTCCAGAAAAGCATCGAGTTCAGGGCCCCTCGGCAACTCGCCGGAGGCGGGCGGCGCAGGGGGAGCCTCTTTACTCTTGGCCTTCTGCTTCGCCTTGGGCATATCTATCGGGCAAATGGATGGGGTGGGATGGGATGAATGGATCGGCTCTGTGTGCCACTGCAGCGCCACTGCCAGATCTCTGCTCAGATCCTTATCTGACAATACAGAAAGCGTATGCGAAGGCACAGGAGATTCATCCGGGTTGATTCATATGCGTTCTCGACTTGGCGAGCTAATGCTTCGGTCCGTTGTAGCTCGCTCTCAAAGCACAACGGCTACACCCATCCTCACCGGCTCTCTCCCCTCTTGAAGTGTGGATTCTATCGCATTATCGCATCTGTGAGTCAGACTTGACTGCCTATTCATCCCTTGTCTTGCTTCTCTTCTCTTGCCTGACTGACTGACACCGCTGCCACCACCAACCACCATGCGGACCCTCTCCCTCGCCATCCTGACACTCTCCCTCTGCTTATGCTGCATCGCCGGTGAGCAGCGTGAGACAAGCACAGACAAGCACACATGCATCGGCATCCCGCACATCTGTGCCTGTGTGTGTGTGTGTGTGTGTCCAGATGCGACGTCCCTCCGTCGCACCCAGGGAGCCGAGGCAGGGAGCGGTGGGTACAGCGCCGACCGCATGCCCGACCCTGCAGAGGCAGCCGAGGCAGCCCCCGTCCCTGAGGTGGTCGATGTCCCGCCTGAAGGCGTCGAGGAGATCCCTGCCCCAGCCAACGTGACAGCCAACGCCACTGCCGCAGAGGAGATCCCCATGGCCCTCCCCGCTGATCCCGCAGCCCAGCCTGTCGACCCCGCAGCTGGAGGCGGCACTCGCCTGCGTCGTCTGCAGGCAGCGGGAGCCCCCCCTCCCCCACCGGCTGCTCAGGTCCTTCAGGAGGAGCCGGGCGCCAACCAGACGGCAGCCAACGCCACCGATAGCGCTCTCGGTGAAGATGGACAGACCAGGCGTCTGCAAGACATGTCGGCGGCTGGTGAGACGAGCATCCCGGAAGTGGCGCAGAACCTCACCACCAACACCACCGGCGCGACCAGACGTCTGCAGGAGACAGGGGCTGCCGGAGTGCCGGTGGGGGCTCCTGAAGCAGTGGAGGCAGCCAACATGACCAACGTCACCGACCCGGCCATGGGGGTGCCAGCGGACGGCAGCACCAGGCGTCTGCAGCAGGACTTGAGCACTCTCCCGGCTGAGCAGACGCCAGTGGAGGCCAACGTGACCGCCAATGCCACCGAGGGCACCACAGAGGGCGGCGTGAGACGCATGCAGGACCCGGTGGTGCCTGGGGAAGCACCAGTGGACCCAGCCGTCAACGAGACAGCCATCAACACCACCGTCGAGGGGGCTCCGGGCCAGGGCGGCGTGAGACGCATGCAGCTGCCGGAGCCCGCACAGGAGGCCGCTGCCGAGCCTGCAGCTGAAGGCGTTGAGGGCGATGTGCCGGCCGGCGAGGAGGCAGCCAACGTGACAGCGGTGGGGCCCGTCCCGGTTGTGGAGCCCATCAACGCGACAGAGCTCGAGGAAACGGCGCCCGAGATTGCCGACGAGGTCAGCGAGGCCATCAACCCGGCGGAGGCCGAGGAGGCAGCGGAGGGCGGCGAGAGAGTCCGACGCCTTCGTCGCCGCGTGCAGAGCTACAGCGACACGAGCATCCCTGCAGCTGAGCAGCAAGTGCCGGAAGTGGCGCAGAACATCACCAACACCACCGGCGCGACCAGACGTCTGCAGGAGACAGGGGCTGCCGAAGTGCCGGTGGGGGCTCCTGAAGCAGTGGAGGCAGCAAACATGACCAACGCCACCGACCCGGCCACGGGCATGCCAGCGGGCGGCAGCACCAGGCGTCTGCAGGACTTGGGCACGCTCCCGGCTGAGCAGACGCCAGTGGAGGCCAACGTGACCGCCAATGCCACCGAGGGCACCACAGAGGGCGGTGTGAGACGCATGCAGGACTTGGGTGGGGCCGCTCCCCCACCCCCTGAGGCCAACGTGACGACCAACATGAGCGACGCAGCCGTCCAGCCCCCTGATGCCGGCACGAGGCGCATGCAGACGGTGGGTGGTGCTGATGCTGCGCAGCAGCAGGCCGGGTACGTGGCGGCAGAGGAGCAGGCCATGGCCAACGTGACCAACGCCACTGACCCGGTCAGCCAGGGCGGCACCAGGCGCATGCAGGACAACATGGGCGGGGTGATGGAGATGCCCGTCAACGAGACCAACACGACCACCGAAGGCCAGATGGGCCAGGGCCAGGGCGGGATCAGGCGCCGCCGACTGCAGACGTGTGAGTGTGGACACGACACACAGCCGACATACATGGGTGTGGGGTGCATGGTTGTATGTATGTCCGTGTGTGCGCGTGTGTGTTCAGTCGATGGTGCTGAGGGTCCTGATGCTGCCGGCACCGAGATGCGTGATGACAGCCTCGGCTATGATGCCGCCCAGACCGAAGACCAAGCAGGTACCGTACCACGTGAGGCGGTGCACCCCACGCAGAATCACGCTTGACAATGGATGTCTCTTGTCTGTGGCCTCCGTCAGAGTCGGTGTCCGGCGGAGTGCCACAACAGGGGACTGAGGTGGGTGCTGGTGCTGCTGGCGCTGGTGCCGGAGAGGAGGATTTCCCCACCGCTGAAGAAATCACTCCCGCACCCGAAGGTCAGTCACGCACTCCCGTCCGTCTGGACATCACATCTGTCTCCGCGCACTCATCCCTGTATGTCTGTCCCCGCCTGTGTGTCTGCAGAGGTTCTGGCTGAGCCTGAGCAGCAGGTACCCGGATTCCTCGAGGGCGAGCTCGTTGGTGGACCTGACAGCGAAGCCCGCACTGGTGGAGAGTAGACAGACAGACCCGTGGTATGTCGTTTTGTTTCGTTCCGTGTCGTGGCGTGAGCGGTTTTACATAGGTGTTTGCTTCAATCAACGTGTGCGTGCAGATGTGTGTGTGTGTGTGTGTGTGTGTTTGGCTGACTGACTGACTGACTGCATGGATGGATGGACACCGACAGACCGACCGACGAGTGCGTTTTTTCCACACGGACGTGCGCGCCCTCTTGAATGACATGCGGGCACACGTGTATGGCTGGCTGCATGTGTTGTGGTCAAGCGTGCCTGTGTGTGATTGGTGTGGGGGGGCGGAGTTGGGTGGGGTGAGCGCAGCCATGCGGACACGCATCGCATCGGTCGACGTGTCCGTTCTGTTTTGCCGGCATGTGTGCGCCTTCCTTCACTCGATGGAATCGGTTGCGGGGCGTTTTTTCGCTGCACACACACACGCGCACACATTGTCACGCATTTTGCCATGACCTCACTAACTCACTGCATGGTGTTGTCATTCGTTCTGCTTCACGTGCTGGTTGCTTGGTTCATCCACACAACTTGCTGCAGGCTGGGCATTTTGTACATACCCATGGATGCGAAGTCAGTCATGTTAGTTACACGCCCACCCGACCGACCCATAGACGTGCCTTGCTCGATGGCTCGATGGCCTGATTGCTCGATTGAGCACTTTTGACACACCGTGGCCTGCCTCCCTCCGTGGTTTGATCATCATCCATCCACTCACCACTCACTCGCTGCCTGGCTCACTTTTGGCCGCCGAATCGAGCGTTGGCTGAGCGTTTATTCAGTTTCTTCTCGTTGGCTTCGTCTGTGTGTGCACTCATCACTCATCGGAGAAGACAGGGAGGGCATGCACGTGACTTCGGCGCACACAGACAGACAATGACGGGGGGGG